GGGGCAGCAGTAGCCCCTGGCAGCTCAGGATCAGCCCAGTGACTGCCTGCAAGCTGCCTCAGAAGCAAAGCCAGAGCCCTAGTCATTAGCAGCCTGCGGTAGCAGGACCAGTCCAGAGCTGGCAGCAACCTCCAACCCCTGGTAGCTTGCAGCACTGGGACTGGGACCAATGGCAGGCCCTGGCAGTTTGCAGTCATGGGGCCCTCTGGGCTGGCGACAGCCCAGGAGGCAGTACACCAACCTGGCAGGCAGCCCAGCCAGGATCATGGATAGTGGGGGCTAGAGGCAAGGGAGCCAGCTAGGGCAACAGAACTAGCAGCGCCAAGGATCAGGTTAGTGGCAGGGGACCTTCCTTGGTCTGGCAAATTCCCTGATTTGGGACCATTATGCCCTGAGGGTGCTGGACCAGGGACGTCTAACCTCTATAGCTACTTCTTAGGAACATGGATTTTTCACACCGCTTGAGAGAGATAACTACCAATGTAACATTCTAGTGTAAACCAGGCCAATGTCTGAAGCAGCTCCACTGGAACACTTATTTCCTGCTAGAGTTGAAATGGGCTATCCAGCAAAAGAACACATGATCAGTATGAGCGGTCTGTTTGAAAGGCAGGTGTCTAAGGGATAGGTTTTTGTGGTATTGGCATGAGGACCTGAGAATCTTTCTTAAATGTACAGAGAATTATTTTAAAATAATTCTCCTTTACCATGCACAGTACTAGCTAGCCATAGCCTTATTTTTCTTCCAAATAAGGAACATTAGGATAACTGCAAAATCTTCTGAAATATCCCTCTGCTGGTTAAGCTAATTAAGATGTATAATACCTAGCCCTTTTAGCTGCACAAGAGATCATTTATTATAGAAGGACTTACTGAAACTACAGAAATGTTTAATTATAGTAATAACACTATAATATAGGAGTTCTTCTTTTGAGAAATTATTTAGCTTAATAAAACTTGATATGTTTTCATGACAATTTTGAATTATAAATATCAGCCAAGATACAGTTTTTCCTTTGGACCTTTATCATAAGGCAAAAAAACAAGTATTTCCTTTTCCTCCCCTCCCCCCAAAAAACCTCTCCCTCTACCTGGGCAAATGGGCAAACTCAATTATTCAAGGCTTTTGGTATCCTTTTTTGTCTTATTCATAAATAGACCCAAAATTGTTTTTGTTTTGTTTTGTTTTGTTTTTAAATGGGCATATATGTATACAGTAATAGCTATTTTTGGGAATTGGACACCATTCCAAGTAAAGTAAAATAAAAAACATTTATCTTACCATTCTATTTTATATGTAAAGATGTCTTTAGCTTGTCCCTCTTATTGAAAGCTCCAGATTTTTGGACAAACCGTCTATTTCAAGGTTACAGTCCTCATCAGCCATGAGATGCAAAAGAGATACCATCAGTTTATTGTTTTAAAACACAAAATAAAGTTGTTTAAATTGGCACTTAGTTCAGTGTGGTGGTAGTGATGTAATTTAGCACAATAGTTTAGTATTATGAACTTAGAAAAACTCTGTTTGTAATAAAGGTCCAGAAAGGAGGCTTTAAAATAAAGTAAATGGTAACTGAGTAATACCAGTGGTGGAAATGCCAAAATACCTTATTGTTGCAATCAATGGCTTTTGTCTGATCAGTATGTATAGCAATTGTCAATGGAACTATTGATTTGATCTCACTTATCAGGGAAAATGTTTCAGATTTAACTGAGTGTATTCCCTCCTTCAGTTAACATTTTTTATCTTTATTCTTTTCACTGGGATGGATATTCACTTTGCTAACAGTTATGTCAGGATGTCAAAACCTTACTGTTTTTCCTTTATTCTCAGGGAAGAAAGGAAAGACCCTTTATCTGCTCTTGCACGAGAATATGGAGGATCCAAAAGAAATGCCTTGCTGAAATGGTGTCAGAAGAAAACTGAAGGATATCAGGTAACTGCACAGCTGTTTAATACTGCACAATCTTAACTTCAACACATGAAGATCTGCCAAAAGCACAAACTTGAATGCTCCACAGTTCACTGCATAGATCGCAATGAAACTGGCATGTGCTGTACTTTCTTGCAGGAACATATGCTACATGTCCTAACCCAGCTAGCATGAATAGTTAATTAGTTACTTTTCTGCACATTGTAATTTTTTCCCCTTCGCCATCTGAACTTCCATTAAGACTCTTGTAAAACAACAATCATTCATATTACACTTTTGAAACTCAGAGGAATAATAATTTCAAAGTGATATGGACTTGAATATCCAGATTTCAGAGTTCACATTAGCTGCATGTCAAATACAAATCTAGAGTAACACTTTTTGAGTTTAAAAGTAAACTGAGTAAGGTTTTAAGGGCTTGTCTACATGCTGCTGTAGTACTTCATTGTAGACATTACCTATGCTTATGGAAAAAGTTCTCCGTTGCTGTGAGTGATCTCCATTGCTGTGAGAGGCAGCAGTTACTTGATCAGAAGGATTCTTCTGTCAGACTAGCGCTGTTTACATGGGGGTTTTGGGTTGGCTTAACAACCTTTTGGGAGTGTGGGCTTTTCAAACTGTTAGACTGGCCTAGGATGGATTTTTCAGTATCTTTCATTTAACATCACTGTTTAGTGACAGATGTTGCTTGTTTTTTGGAGGTTGCATTGTTTTGTATATACAGCATATTTGGCTTTCTATTGCATTTTCAGCCTTCTTTTCAAGTAGTCCTAATGTTGTCTCATCCAGAAAACTAACATGATGGAAAAATTTAGGGAACTATGATTACGTATTTTCAAAACAATTGAGCCTTCAGCAAACTGAACCAAAATATTAAGAGTCTAGCCATAATGTATTTGTTTGGTTACGTTGTATTGAAATGTGTTTTGAATTCCCAGCACAGGCCTCAGTTTTAAAAACTTCACTCTTTCAGTAATTTGACACTCGCAACACAGGAAGAAGCTGAAAGCCATGGAACAGGATGGTTGACCATCCATAGAAGTAGTCAGCTTTCAGTACAATAGAGTCTTGTGCTATAAATCCAAGCTGCTCTTCTCCTGCTTCCTGTGGCATGTTAGTAATACCAAATTGTGCTATCTCTGAGTGTAAGTTTCTTCATGGAAGTGGTCCTTCCTCACTTTTTTTTATAAAGGCAGGATGTTGGATCTTAAAAGCCTGCAAGTCTAAATGGGAAAGTATCTAAAGCTTGTTATCTTTAAATGAAAGATACATCTGACAGCTTCCTTAGTTTTATCAGGACAACACTATACAATACTCAAAACCTTTCCTCCTCTGGCTGTGCTCAGGCCATCTTCTTGTTCATATCAACCAGTTGCTATCTATAAGCCGTAAGCAGCTAGTTTATAGTCAGTCTACAAGGACCCTTGTAACTGGTAACGAGAAGCGGGGGGGTTCACACTTCATATTTGCCTGACAGCTATTACGTGACACTCTGCATGCACTGCTATTGCTGGATGATATCATCTCCTCTCTCTGAGCTATATATGTGCCTCTTTCTGAAGGAGACAGAGAAGTCCTATTGGAATATATTAAGTTAGCTATTGCAGAAGAATGTATTTTGTTCTGACGTCAACATTTATCATTTTTCTTTAAATTGTTGTAGTGTATTAAATTTGTTTTTCAAGATCCCCCTGAAATTCAATTCTGGTGAACATTTGTGTTGCTGCTATGCTTTTATTAATGCTATAAATGTACCCTGTATTGTGCGCATTATGGATAGAGATTATCCAGATTTTTGACATATCGCCTAATTATCAATACCTTATAAATGTTAGGCACTCTCTGGGAAACAAAACCTTCTCCTACCCCTTTCTCCTGCCCTTTCTCCCTCCCTCACTCCCGCCCCTGTGATATCTAGATAAGTTCCAAGTGTAAAACCATCCACTCCAGCTATTGTGGAGTAGTTTACTTCATTGACACTATCTTGAACAAAACTGTTTTCATTTTAAGTAGCTAACTGATGTACATTGAAAGTATATGGACAACACAAAATCCAAACCAGGATGTAAGATTCTAGATGCTAGACAGGTTACAGAGGTTCTTCACCTGGTGATGGTGGTCTGTTTTATTGTCCAAAATAGAATCCATTTTTCACTGTCCTTATGTTTTTGGAGATGAAAGAATTTACCTCCAGAAATGTAATACAAAAAATGCAGCCACTAGATTCCTACAAGTGTGCTGCTTGAGTGTCTTCTCATTTTTGTAGATACCAGCTGACACAGCTACTCTTCTGATACTTGTCAAGAGTCTCTCTGGCTTTAGCAAATACCGTTTACATGAAAATTCCAGCTCTAATAAGTGGATTTTGTTTATCCATACTCCTTACTTACCCCCCTCCCCAATCAGTTTTGGTTAGAAGAGATTTTTTTTTCCTGTTTGCAGTATTTTTAGGGGTTCATAGTTTACTCCAGAGCTGGTGGATGTGATTAATGGAAGTGATTCCAGTGTAATGTTCAGGATGTTTCTTCTCATGTGATCAATAAAATACTTAATTGTTATGCTTAAATATTGATAATTAGGTCTCAGAATTAACAGTCCTGTGAAGGAATGGGAGCATTTTACATCTGACACATGTTGTCCTAGGCTGCCTAAAGACTTTAGAAGACCAAGGTCCATCTTACAATTTAGTCAACTTTTAAAATCTTCAATTATAAGGGACAGAAATGTAATTTTTTTAACGAAAGCCTAGATTCTGGATCACAGCTCTGGATTGATCTGTAGCCTCAGATTACGTGGAGCCTTGATAGCACGCCTTTTTCCTGTCGCATTTAAATTCTATAAATGTAACCCTGCTGCTTAATTTGGGCAAATAAGATATAGGATAGCAGCTGAGGTCCACAAGTTCAGAAGTATTTGTAAGGAGGTAAAAAATTAGTTATGTGGTGAGCATAAGTTAATATTACAATGAAGACTTTAACTTCCACCTTTCTTGATTTGATGTTTTTTTAAAACATATTAATGTATTCTTCTATGAGGAGTGTCCCTGTGGGTGCTCCACCTTAGGTCTTAGGTCCCTGTACTCTGAGTCAGAGATTTACAGTAACTTTGCCTTCCAGTAGGCTGGATGTGTGAGGCAGACTACATACACGGTAACGCTACCATGCATGCACAGCCAACAATTCCTTCAGTTCCTTTCTGCCACCTCTGGCATCGGTCGGAACTGCAGTTGCTCTCCAATTTTTTCTTTAAACAACTTTGAAATTTTTTAAAAAATTAACTGAGTAACAAGGAAGTGTTACAATTCGTTCTAGTTATAGTTCAAGTTTTATCTTCAGATTTAAAAAAAAACTTTTTCTCCTGTTACAATGGCTGCCAATTCTTCGGCCTTGCACATTTTTACTACTTAGCATGCCTGGTTCCTCGGGATTCAAATATTGACTTTCTTGCAGGCTATTTATCCCCATCTCAGATGATCATTCCCAGTGTTTGGGGTAGGCATATGCTACCCACACAGTTCCAGCCTGGCCAAAAAGGGCCACGTCTGCCAGCTCTACCTCGCCACTCTTCCTCTGAATAATCCAGGAAGAGCTCTCATTCCTCGAGGAAAGTGATTCTCCCTCAAAGGAGCAAGCACCCAAAGTAACCCGTACTATGGCTTCGGACAGGGAAGTTCCGGGCCCATCTGGCATCAACGGTTCCTGAGGGTCCAAGGACCTACCAAAGCTGAGTACCAAGGTGCCAGGCAAAGCCAAGTCTAAATTGACACCCTCAGCAACACTGGCACATACATCAGTGCTGAAGAAAGATAAAACCAAGCCATCTTTGGCTAAGGCACTGGTGGCACCAAAGAAGTCTAAGCCTCACGTGGCACCGTTGGCACCTATGCTGACGCTGAAGAGGCATAAGCACTCGGCACCGTCAGTCTCCCATTCAACACTGCAATAGTCACAGCTCAGTTGCTATTGGCACCACAGATTCAGGTTCCGGTCCCATTATCCACCACAGAGGACCTCAGGGTATCTTCAGCACTCACAACTCCTCGGTTTGGCACCGATGGCACCTTAGCAGCTGAGTCTGGTTGTCTAGTGACAAGGAGCCCTTGGTCAGCACCCATACTCGGAGGCATTCCTCTCTGAAGCAACCCCAGCCACAGCAACAGCACATAGCAGTGCAACGGCAGCCATGGAAGTGGTTGCCTCCTTCATGCTCCTCCCTTTCAACTGGCCCTATTGGGACCCATGGGCAGCATATCGAGCCCAACTTTCACTGTAGGTGCAACCCACATAACTATAGCACCTTCGTCTAGAGCAGCATCCTTGCCAGCACTGTACAGGTCACCCTATCAGAGAAGGAACCAGCATCTAGTGACAAGGAGTCTTCTGTCTTCCTCCCATTTCTCAATTCACACATCCCCCTCCTTCTCGTGATGCCTCCATTCTTCCCCACCTCTCCCCCATGGATGGGAATGACTTCCATTCTTTCCAGGAACTCGATAGGCAGATTGCAGAGGTCCTTCAGGTCTCCCTGGTCACCCTTCCTGAAACTCAGCACAAACTCCATGTCTCGCCTGCCTCCAGACTGGCCTTACCTATGGACCCTGCGTTTATGGACCCCAGCAGGGTCATGTGGCAGATACCAGCCATGATACCACTGGTTTGCAAAAGATCTGACCGTAAATACTACATGTCCCCGCAGAGTGCAAACTTTCTCTTTTCCCACCCATCCCCTAACTCCATAGGTTGTAAATGCCGTTAATCAGAGGGGCAATCAGCGCCACACGTACCATCACATACCTAGACCTCATGGGTAGAGAGGCTTATTCCTCGGCCTCCCTTCAGATTTGCATCTCAAACTACATAGCAGTGTTGGCAAAATATACCCACCATATTGTTGAACAGCTCTCACTCTTTGACAATTTATCTTAAATTGAGAATAATTTACAGCCAACATAAACAAGAGCATGCTGAGATCCTGTACGGTCCTACAAGCCCCCCCTGGACACA